GGCTGGTAGGGATTCAGCCTTCTTCAGAGGCAAAAGGCAAGAGTGAAGACTGCTGGGGGGGTGAGGTGGGGAGTGGGGATCAGGAGCCAAGTGGTAATGATATTCCTGGGCTATGCCTGCTGTCTTCCTACTGACCTCCATTCCTCCTGTGGTCTGTTCTCCCTTTCTTCCTGTTCAGAACACCACGGAGAGGTGGAAGAAATGAAAATATTTTCTGTCTCTTGCTTGCAGAAGCAAATCAGTCTTTGAGGACTTATGTTTTTTCTGTGTGATCACAGTCAGACGTTCCCTCTGAAATCGCCTTGGCAGATATCTAGGATGCCAGACTGCTTGTAGTTTCAGTGGTTCAGGCCATCACTGCCTTTTGATAACGTGGCTGCTGCTGATAATGGTGATGGTGACAACCTCAGTGACGAGTGTGGTCTGATGCAGAAAAAGACTGCTTACAGTCTTGCTGGAGAGAGGCCAAGAGCACTGACGAGACAATTAGAAAACATAAATCTATTCGAAATGGTGTGATGCAGACTCAAAGTGCAACAGAGATTCCTAAGAAAAGAAAATTGAAGGGAAGTTGGCGAAGGTTTGAGGAAGAAGCCAGAAGCATGAGCTTAACCTTGAAGAATGAGTGAGATTTTGATAGGGCAATGAGGGGGCAGCCGATTCTATAGGGGAGGAGTGGACTAGCATGACCCAAAGTACAGAGGAGGGAATCAACCCGGTGTAGCTGAGTAGCTTGAAACCAGGTTGGGAAGGGTGAAATTATGGCAGACAGAATTCCACATTTGGAATCCATGTGATGCCACATGCAGTAGAGGGCTACAGTAGTTTCCTGAAGAGGTGAATGGCATGCTGATACAAGCAGGGATTGAGGAAAACTGGTCAGAAAGTAGTATTCAGAGGTCGGGCACTGGGGCTCACGGCTGTAATCCCAGCACTTTCAGGGGCTGAGGCAGGTGGATCAGGAGTGATTGGGCCTCCCAAAGTGCTGGGATTACAGGAGTGAGCCAC